GATAATTTTTCACTTTACATCTCATCTAATGGATCCTTTGTGCAATGTAATTGATGGACTACATTTGCTAATGACATTTTATAGATAGATTCTGTGGACCTTCACATACTAAATCCAAAGTACCACCGGCCATTTCAGTATCTTTTGTTCTAGGATATTTTGAAGTGAGAAAGCAGCTGCATCTGGAGTATAAGGTAATCAGTTGATTCCTTTTTCCAGTTTTTTGTTTTTGTTTTTGTGTTTTTTTTATCTTCCTTAGGTATGTATAATCACTAGATGATTTGCTATAATCACTAGTCGGTTTTGTTTGGTCCAGCAGGCTGATTTTTGTGTGACCAGCTACCCAACATGGGTCTGACTGGTGTTTGTGTTGGATCCAGCAGGTTGATTGACCTGGCTACCTTACTAATGTGGATCGTCACTGTAGTATTTTTGAACTCCTAGTGATATGTGAAATACCTTATAGCATATTGTTGTTGGAATTGAGTAAATTGAATCATATTACAAAGATGATAGACAAGATGAACATTGACAAACTCTCTGTATGTAAAGATTTTGACCCAATTATTGCTGAAAATCTTATAATTACTTGTACCCTTGTGTATGCTATGAAGCTGCTTTATTCCTATTCTTTTCTCCATAATCCCCACCTTATAGTGTCTCTCGCCTTTCAATCTGTGGAGGATTTTCGCAATGCAGCAATCAGCTGAATGCAAGCTGACATGACATCTCTGTTTGGAACTATAACTTACCAGTCAAATCAATCTTCGAGTATCTTCTTGGGCAAGGTTATTTTTGTTTCTTTCCTTTACATTAGGTGTGGATTTCATCCTAACGATTAACTTGGTTTTGGAATAAAGTGGCCCCTTTTTGATAAGTAAAACTTTACTTTGATAGTTGATCTGATCCTTCTTAACATTATGTGCAGCCTTTTTCCGCAAAGTTTCAAGGAGGAAGTACATAGAGCCAACTCAAAGATTATAGGTTATGTTTCTTCCTTCAGTGCACACAATTAGTCACAGAAGCCGGATTCTGTGTTTCCCTCCTAAGGTATGCATTGAGCTTTCATTCAGCCTCTGATGCCATTTTCCGAAGCTCAAATAGTGTAGAATGAAAAGCAAGTGAGCTAGAGGTCTGTACTGTCAATTTTTTAGTTTCTTACTAACTCTGGTTGCAAATTATCTTCTCAAAATTGAGGTAATGTGCAAAAGAGACTGATAGATGTTAGTGACAAATGGTAGTGGATGTAATAGAAATGGTAGATGATCATTACAAGAGACAAACTAGACCATCATTTGATTAATATTTGAATTTTTTTTGGAATTTTTTTTTTTGGATTAATAGGCTTGTTCCTCCGTCTCCTTGAGTTCCAAAGACAGCTCAATGCAACAAAAGTTGGGTGAGCAGTTGATTAACATCTAAAGAACAACGTTGGAAACACATACAATATTACAGGTATAAAAAATTAACCAAACTACTTAAGTTCAATTTGTGTTCATCTTGTTCGAGATAGGTTTGAACATGTTCTAAAACTCGTTAATTTTCTTGTTTGGGTAAGCTAGCTTCATTTGGTACTATTAATTCTGTTGAATTGCATGCATTTAAATTCATGAATGTAATGAAACATTAGTGAATTTTTATCAGAAATGTTGGAAAAGGCAATGGCAACTCCTCCAACTGTTTCACCAATATGGTGTTCCCCATTACTTGAGGTATGTCTATGTATGAACAAACACAGACCTCTGCATATAATTTCTCTCTGGTGCCAAGAAGAAAAATTGATTAGTTGAGCTTCTGGCAAGTTATAAACTGATAATCTAAACATTGTACCTAAAAGTATGCGCAGGATTTTTTTTCTCACTAAATTCTTCTATTTTCTTATCCTAATACACTTCTAATTATTGGATTATACATCGAGATTCATGTCTCAAGATTTTCATGTGATCCAATGATTCAGGATGTAATAGGACAAAGACAGGAATTTGAATATAGAGAATCCTTGGTATGTTGAATTTACATGAAGTTTTGACCCGATATCATGTTAATCAACTTGAGCTGATTTGAGTTGTTTGCTTCAATGGGGTCCATTGATTCGTTGTTATGATGACCTGTCTGTAATACATATTGTTTAATGGTTATTAGATTTGTGATTTTATGATTGTGATTTATTTATTTTTGGTTACAATTGTTCTGTATACAGTTTGAAATTACTGCTAATCTTCTACTCGTTGCTATTGGGTTTTAGCTTTTTCTTGTTAGCTTCTAAAAATCTTATTAGTCGAACAACCTGGATTAGATGTTTAATTCTTCCACGTCATGGAAGACTTGGTTGCTAGGAGAAATAAATCATGTTTCTTAATTGTGTACTTTGATCATAATACTATGTTCTGTTGCCATTTCCATTTTAAGTATTCATTGTTATGTAACAGCAATTTCATTCCAATGAAAATCATGAAATTGAATTTTCCAAATGCCAGAGATTTACATACATGTTCCTCCATGTTTTAATAAATCGTTGCACCAATAACTGTCAATTGATGTTGCAAACTTTGTCTATCTTGTCTTCCTCTCCATATCTTTTTGTCTTTTGGGTTAATTTTTATTTCTTTGTTTAGTTTTTAACAGGAAAAATGCCATTGATAGTTTTATTGTAAGCAGGGGGAACTAAAGCTTGTTGGAAGCCTTCAACCTACTTCCCAGTGCTATAAAGAGCACATGATTGGTTTTGCAATTGTGTTGTACTCCCCCCCCCCCTTTTCTTTTCTTTTTATGCCAGATAGATTCATAGATAGCTTGATTTTTTTTGTGCCGATCTTTTTTTTGCTGAGCTGTAAAGAGTACATGATTGATCTGTTTATTTTTTTTTCTTCTTTTTTGGTGCCGATTTGTTTTGTAATAATTTTCAACTTACTACTGGGCATTAGTTTAACTTTATTTCATCTTGGAATTGAAATATTTTTGCATATTAACAAGCATGGATTGATCCAATATTATGTTTACCTAAATTAAGTCAATATATTGAATATTTTTTGTCTTTATTGCAAGTATTTTTTTAGTTAAATCACAGAATTAGCATAATTTCAAAAAAAATAAAAAATAAAAAATAAAAAATGAAAAATGGAGCTATGACGGCGTTTTTAAGCGTCATTATAGAATAATATTAACGGTTATATTTTTAAAATAAAATGATTTATCACGACGTTTTTAAAACGTCGCTAAAAATTGCGTGACGTATTTGTATAGTTGTGCAGCATATTTAGCGGCGTTTTAAAAAACGCCGTCTAAACTAAATATAGCGACACTTTTAAAGCGTCATAAAGCTATAGCGACGGCCGCATCTTCGACGTTTGGAATTAAACGCCACAAAAAAAATTAGCGACGTTTTTGATAGATATAGCGGCGTTTAAAAAACGCGCTAAAAACCTAATTTCCAGCAGTGAATGATGCTCCTTTTCAAGAAACTTTCTTGTGGGGGGACACAGAGTCAAAAACAAATGTTCATATGTTCGTTAAAAAGAAATGTTCATATGTTCAATTGGAAGGAGGTGTCTACAAGCAAGGAACAAGGTGGGCTTTAGTTAGAAGAATTAGAGATGTAAATGATTGTTTGCTGGTATGGAGTGATCCTTGAGGATGTTTATCCAGCGGAAAGACAGCTCAGGCAACTGGAATCTATGCTTTAGAAGATCTCACTTTGGTTGGGAGCGTAAGGAGGTGGTCAGACTTTATGGTTTGCTGTGTGCAGCTCCATCACTTAGAGTTGGTTTTGCTAATCACATTAGACCATCTCCAACGGTGAACCAAACCTGGCATCAAATTTAAAATTTGGTGAAAAAGCCACTTTTTTAAGCTCCAACGGTTTCACCAAATCGATATCAAATCCAGAATTCAGCAAAAATGGTACCAAACTGAGTGCAGGCGAAGCATTTCACCAAAGCATTGTTCCTAACCGTTGGGATGAGAGGAACGGGTCGACCATCCGGTTGACCAACCGGTTAACCAACCGGTCGCCCCGGAGAAAGTTCAGACAGTTCACAAAAAGGTTCAAACCATTCAAAAAAAAACAAAAAATTTTTTTTTGCCTAGGTGGTCGACCACCCGGTCGACCGGCCGGTTGACCACCCGGTCGACCACCACCCTGACTGCCGGAGATAAAAACTTCTCCTGGAATGCATTCACAAATCACAAAAGCCTCCCACGTACCTCCTATACGCCCTTAGTAAACTTTCCACATGACCCGCATCCCCCTTCAACCTGGAAAGATTGCCAAGGTCACTTTCAACCCCTCGTCTCGATGCCAAAGCATCTCAAACGTCTTCGTTTGTCTGTTCGAGCATTCATCTGCCTTAAGTGGCTCTTTAGGGAATCACCCACAAATTCATGCCGGATTGGACCGAATGAACTCCTCTGTCAGAAAAGGAAGTCCTGCATCCGCAATACCAGCCTGAGCTTGATTTCTCAGCTCTAGAATGCCTTACTGACTCCTGAATGCCCCTGCTAATTCTCTCGGGCTTAGGAGCGCCCATAGCCTGTGGCCTTCTGGGCTCCCAGGCCACATTGGCCTTGCCAATTCCCTCTTGACTGCCGGTAATCTCCTCTGGCCACAGGCACCACCTGCCTACCCGGCCCCTACCACGCCACCGCGTCCTCGTCCTCGTCCTGACATCCTTAATAAAGAAACAAAGACATTAGCACATAATAAATGTGCCGCAAGCTAAAACACTCGGCGTCACTAATTCAATGCGACAACAATAATTCATTCCACGTTAAGCACATAATCACATTAAGCACTTACGAATTCCATTCCCGGCATAATGATAGGTCCCAATGCGTAACTATAGTTCGGTTGGATAGCAGCAGTGATCAAGTGCCTTTCCAACAAGACTACAAAAAACTCAAGGTCCAATCAACATCCTAGAAACTACATTCCATTACCCACATAATCACAATAAACATGTTATCACATAGCATATAACATTACACTAAGTCTCTATCCAAACGAGACGAACCCAATGTGGATTACAATCACTTCCCACGTACCCAAAAGTATTCAAACCCGGTACGCTTGTACCAAGTTGTAACGCCCTCAAAATTAACCCATTTATATATATCATTGACATTATTATTTTAAAGAAGACAATCTATAATTCAGTTCATCAGAGTATTACCAAATAAAGGCATTACATGTATTCATCGAAATAAAATGCCCTACAGGCTTACATCTTTCCAAGCCAACACTTGGATACAAAAACAAATATGAGTTCTAACTTCAATACAAGAAAAGGGCCCTTAGGCTTGAATGTTTACATTGTACTAATAATTTAAGACAGTTAACTAAAGTAGTCCGTTCTTCAATCCAGAAGCCAAACCCTCCCAAGCTAATTCCTTGGACGGTAGTTTATCACCTGAACCTGAAAATGATGTTCCCATAAAGGGTGAGCCACAGCCCAGTAGAAATATACTAAACCACATAATTTAAGCAATGAATAAAAAGCAAATAGGCATTTCAAACAGATGGTTAACCCAAGATAATCAATTTACTTTTATTTACAGTCTTCATGACACTATTGTCTTAAGATACGTTTTACTTCCATTTTTTATCAACCATGGCTCAGAACCTGGCCAAACTTACAACAGTGAATCACATATATCATATTCACATCCATTACCAATATCAACAAACAAATGAGCACTCAAGCTCAAATCAGAACA